AATATTTGAGAGAAATAGGCCTTTTGTGTACATAGAAAAAGTCTTAGATCTTTGAGTTCAGCTCATGAAAAATGGGGGCAAAAACAAAAGTGTTGCGTTTATAATTTTGTTCAGTGTATATATATATTTATTTATTTATTTTTTTATTTAATTTTTTTATATAAATATATAAAGTTTGGGGTCAGTTTTTTTTCTATTAATAAAAACTAAAGACTTGTACTTTTACAAAAATTTATATTTCAAAATAATGTTGTTATTTTAAACTTTCTATTCACCAAATAATCCTTAAATCTCCTTAAATGTATCACGGTTTCCAAAAAATATTACGCAGCACAGCTGTTTTCAACATTGATAATAAAAGGAAATGTTAATTGAGCTCCAAATCAGCATATTAGAGTGATTTTTGAACACTGTGATGTGACACAGTGAAACAGTTGTATTAAATTGTAATAATACTTCACAAAAATGTTGACTATTTTTGATCAAATAAAAGCAGCCTTGGTGAGCATAGGAGACTTCTTTCAGAAACATTATCTTATTGACATCAAACATTTTCATATACTTTATTTTTTTAAATTTTTATAATGTAAATATACATAGAATACAATATATAATTATTGTTGATATTTTTATATAACAATAATATATGTATATTTATTTTAAAAATATATAAAAATAAAATACATTAAAAAGTTTTGAGTACCAGAAGTTTTTCACCAAACACAGAAAAGTACTTGCTTATACTTATAATTATGTCTGAAGTGCTTCTGTCGACCTCCTGGAACTCCATTTCTATTGTTCTGTCTGGAGGTGTCTTTATTCAGACACAAGCACTCAGCCGCCTAGTAGAGTTCAATACAGACTCTGACAGAGTTCTGAGCCCTAATGACAGACCACTAGTGCTGCAGGCTCTGATTACTCACTGCATTACCCTACACAGGCTAATGGAGAGCTCTGTCTTCTGTGTGACTGTATTGGAGATGAATGCCAGACTCTGTGCCAGTACTTTTCCATACTTTTCTTGCATTGCTGTTTATTTGTGAAAAATGTGAAAGAAAAAACAAAGATGCTTTAAAAGAATGCCTGTCTTTCTTCTGTGGAGAAAGAAACATAAGATGTTTAGAAGAATGTCTGAGCTGCTCTTTTCCATACCATGAAAATGGACAGTGACAGAAGTACCGTATGGTTTCTAAAGACTTAAAATGTAGCAGACGAGTTGTATGGGCTGCTTTTATAATGCTTTTTTTTTGATGAATGGAAAAGGGCAAAGCAGCTTGGACAAAAAAACTTCTTTTGCACTCCATGAAAGAAATAAAGTTCTGTCATGACAACTCTCGAAGGGATTGGCATGGTAATGTATTTGGTCTTGACGGAATAGATCTGCTATGCTGCTGCTGCTGCGGCAGAGCAAGTACCGAGACTTGCTACTGCCAATACATCCACAACATGCTGCTGTGAGCATGTAAGAAATATTGCTGTTGCAAATATAACATACATGAAATAACCCCCCATATAGCATACATGAATCACCTTGTAGCAGATCTATACAGGTGGAGCTGGGGAAGGTGGAGGGTTTCTGAAGCAAGCTGCAACTGCTACGGCAAGCACTAGTCATATATTTGAATGTTGAGCAGCGAGCTCATTGGCTACCGATACAGAAGAGAACCAATCAGCTGTGCCATGTGATAATGATGTCATTAGGTCAGATTGAGTTAGTTCTATCGGACTGCGCCATCTAGAGTTTCATGCCAGAACTCTGTATTTATATGGATTATAAATGATTCACTTTAGGGAATGTATTTAAGAATCTACTGAAAATCTATTTAAAGAAAATATATATTAGGGCTTATTAATTTAATTAATTACACAATATGCCAATTAATTAATCAAATTAATCAATTTGGGCTAAGAAATTACTCCCAAAAAGTTAGTCATTATTGTGTTAAATGAGAAAAGCATTGTATAGACATTACAAAAATGTAGCTTTAGAAAGAAGTATTTTAATTCTACATATGATTTATTATACACAAATATTTAAGGCTACAATGTGGCCATAAGATTGTTTTCAAAAGCTGCTTCTGAAGTGGCATTTAGGCATATTTACACAGACTGTTCAGAGGTGTGATGAACAGTGTTGGGCAGTAACGCATTACTTAGTAACGCGTTACTGTAATTTGATTACTTTTTTAGTAACGGAGTAATTTAACGCGTTATAATTTTAGAGTATAGTATAATTAGAGTATAGTTACAAGCCGAAGTCTCTATACATTACTGCCGCATTACATTGCTGACAGAATGCAGTGTTTTATAATCTAGAGATTGTAAAAAGGATGTAGCTCACGCACTGTCGAGTCAAGTGCCAGTGGATTAGAGACCTGGGGCCGGATTCACGAAAATCTTCTTAAGAAATAAATTAAGAAATTTCTTAAGATAAATTCCACGAAGTTCGTAAGAATGTTCTTAAGTGCAATTCTTGAAAAATTCTTAATAAGTTCTCAAATATATTCTTAAGAACATCTTATTTTTTTTCTTAAGAAGAAAATAACAGTCGTTATCTGAGTGAATACATGACGCACTGATAAACTCACACTTTATTGTCTTTTTGCGCTTCCTGCAGATTACCCTAATAATCATAATAAGCACGCACACTATTTTCGTCGCGAGTTTGGCTGGCACTCAGCTTCACGTTTTTAATGCGGCGTGATTTTGAACAGTTACTTTTAAATAGCCTGTCTCAAGCTGCAGCGATATGTTTCATTCATTTTTGTGCTGTGTTTTTGCACTCTCATGCGAGTCAACGCTTCCGGTATGTGTGTCCGCGCTTTTACAGCAAACGCGTCCTGCGCATTCATATGCGCTGAATACTGCCAAGGATTATGTCGTATTTATAGGCTAAAACTAAAAGCGTTCAATTAATGCAGAGTTCACACTGCACGATTTTCAAAGTCGTCGGGTCACCATGGTTTTCACACTGCACGACTATCTGAGGTAGCAGTCAGTCGCTGCTGTGTTCACAGTGCACGATGGATCGGCGACAGGAGGTTACACACTGCATGACTTTACAATAGGAAAAACTACGTTTCACAACAAAACACACACGAATGATATAATTGTTCATATATCTATTAAAATACTGATATTCTGGTCTATAACTCCTCCCCGAACTTCCCTCTGCCCTGTATCTTGGTCTCTCATTGGCTGTAGGTCATCGCCGATGTAGTTTTCAGTCAGAAATCATTGCACACAGCGTGATTGTGAATCGACATGTCGGCGATTCCTTCAGGTCGCGTCTTTGATAATTCACACTGCGTGATTGTCACTCGCGTGAACGAGCACCGATTTGCCTCCGATTTCGGGCATTTGTCGGCGATTTGCAAAACCTGTCGACGAGTGAAAAATCGGGCTAAAATCGTGCAGTGTGAACTCGGCATAAAGCTCCCTATCTGACTCGTTTTAGAGTTTCAACTGAGTTTTGAAGTCAACAAAAAGTAGCGTCACACATAGGCCAATCATGACCGATCATTGTTTACATTATCAGTCATCGCTGTCACTTCAGAAAACTCGTGCACATCCCTATTAATAGTCCTACTATGTATTATATGTAGCTAGTGTTGTTGTAATGCTTAAATATAACAATTTATTTGAAATAACCCAATAAATTCATTAAATAATTCTTACTGTTTGGGATTTAAGACAAGTCTGGGGCTGTCCTAAATTTAAGAAGTTATTTACGATGATTTTTAAGAAGGATTTCATAAATTTCATGGAGAAAAAAGTAACGTAACTAGTAATGTAACTAATTACTTTTGAAATAAAGTAATCAGAACAGTAACGGTATTACTTTTAAAAGGAGTAATCAGTAATCAGTCATTTGATTACATTTTCAGAGTAACTTGCCCAACACTGGTCATGAATGAATTTCCACTGCAATTAGAATTGCATTAATAATGCTTTGAGATTAATGGGATTTAAATAGGCATAAATGGGTTTTAAATAAATGGAATATTGAAATATGAATAAAAAAAATGAAACAATACTCTAAATAAAAAACAATATCCACCAGTAGGTGGTGGCAAGTCATTCAGGTCATTCATTCAATCGATTTGTTCAAACGGCTGATTCATTCAGAAATGAAGCAAGTGACTGTCTTTATGAATGGGTCACTGAATCATTGGCTTAATCGATTAGTTCAAAAACATAGATTCATTCAGTAACGAAACACCACTGTGTGTTGCTCGGAAAGGCAAAATAGTCCTGCTGTGGCTTTGTTTGGAACTATTTTCATTGGTGAAATTGAGCAAAACCAGTCAATACTGACAATGTTGTGTCTAAAATGTAACACAATATTAACTTCTTGTTTATTGAACTGTTGTATAAAATTTGCAATTGTGCAGATATTCAGGAAAAAGCAGCACTCTTGCTCGTGTAATATTGCTTAACTATGTCATATGATACAAATATAAGACAAAAAACCCATACAGGGGCATTTTTGCCCTCATATCTTGAATTTTAGTGGCACACAACCAGAGCTGGGTAGTAACTGATTGCATGTAATCTGGATTATGTAATCAGATTCCAAAAATTAACCAAATTATTGTGTTAAATCGACAGCTCTAATAATAAATTATGCAATAATATGTAACATTATTTATTCAATAAAATCAAGTTCCACTCTACATTATTTCATGCTGAATAATCAATTTCACTAAAAATACATCACATTGCATAAGTTAAATATATTTCAAAAGATGTTTCATGTTATTATAACTGCATGCTCACATTTGGAGAAGTAGGGGAGATTTCAGTCGTACTGTGTAGTCTATATGTGAGCTCTGTGATGTACCAGATTAGCATCTGAAATGCTGTAGCATATTGTGTTGTTGCTCTTCTCACCCTGTCTCTCTCTCTCTCACACTTTCTTTATCTGTGTCTATAGAGTCAGTCCAGTTGTCAGATGTCTCTGTTGGGAGACCCCCCTAAAGAAGTGAAGTTGCCTTCCAACCCATATCTAAACCTGGCTAGTGTGCTTCCTGGAGTGGTACTACAAGGTACGTGCACGATCAGAACGGCACACACTGAAGATGACTCACTTCTGCCAGACCTTGGAATGTATCTCTTCTCTGTCAGCTCTCTATTTTCAACTGTAATCTTTACAGTGTAAGACTGTCTCTTGTCTCTTGTCTCTCTCTGCTCAAGACCACAGCCAGACGGGCTGCAGCCCACACCAGCAGAGAAGATAAAGAGTGTGTGTATGAGAGATGTTCTAAATGGGTGTCCCTGAGCAGGTCTTGATTTACATCAGAATGTGTCTGTTTCTCCTGCAGCACCCTGCAACAGTAAACCTCAGACTGTGCAGGCGCACACTGGGACGTACAGTGCAGTCCTGCCACCTGCCACCCACCCATCCAGTCAATACAGCGCAGAAACCACTCCTGCAGAATACACTCAGCAATACACGCAGGTATATAAATGAAAAATATACATGTATTTTTACACACATATATATATACACATACACACTGGTTTGTAAATCTTTTTTAAATGTTTTTGAAAAAATATATATTTTATGCTCACTAAGGCTGCATTTATTTGATCAAAAAATACAGTTAAACACAAATATTGTGAAATATTACTGTTTTCTATTTGAATATATTTTCAAATGTAATTTATTCCTTTGATGGCAAACCTGAATTTTCAGCAGCCATTACTCCAGTCTTCAGTGTCACATGATCTTTCAGAAATCATTCTAATATGCTGATGTGCTGCTTAAGAATTTTTATTTATTTATTTATTTATTATCAATTTTGAAAACAGTTGTGCTGCTTAATATATTTGTGGAAACCATGATACACTACCATTCAAAGGTTTGAAGTAAGAAAAAAAGGGGGGAAAATAAATTCCTACTTTTAAGCAAGGATGGATTAAAATGATCAAAAGTGACAGTGAATTCATTTATAATGTTACAAAAGATTTTTATTTTAAAAAATGCTTTTTGAACTTTATATTCATCAAAGCATCCTGAAAAAAAAAAGAATTGTAGTTTCGACAAGGTTTCCATTCTCAATATCTATCCATAGATAGATAGATAGTTTTTTTTTTCATAGTATTTGAACCATAGTCTTGGGACCTTGTATATCAGATGAAAGTATTTGACCATTGTGGAATACAGATGCTGACAGTCACAGACACAGGAAGAAATCCCAGCGTTCACTGCAACGATCTATCAGTCTCACTCTTAGCCCATTCTCTCAAGTCTTTTCTCCCCCCATTATATCCCCCACAATATCTCTCTCTAACACAAGCTTCCACTGAGCCCCAGACTTGACAGCGAAAGCCAGAGAGAGCGAGAGGAATGAGAAAGAAAACAATTCTGCCATATGCTCAGTTGCACAATAGAGATAGATGGGTCTATACGGAATAAAGAAAATGAATGTTCAAAACAGAACAAAAAGAGTTCCATCAGAATGGAGCTGTAGTGCAGCACCATGTCCAAACCAGAGTTGGCAAACGATAAAAGTTACTTTTTTTGTCCCAACTGACTGAGCTTTTTGTTGATTGCTTGGTTTATATTTATGCTCTGTTATGTTCTGAAACCCTCACGGTAAAATCTCATCGGACCGAAGTCCCACTTCACATTAAGCATCAAAAATCTTCTGATATCTATGACTGAACAGAGAAATCACTCCTTGCTCAACTTGTCACATCACACCTAGTTTGAACCAGGGAGGTCTGTTATAAGCTGTCTCAATAGTCCCTTTCATACCAGAATGACATTTCATTACACAAATGCGCTGTTTACACCAGCTACAGAGTTCCATCTTTTTACCGATAAGATACCATTCACACATCAGTACCAAAATACCAGTAAACTCTGTAATGTCAGTCATCAGAAATTACCTTTAAATGCTGTGCCATCTTCTTCATTCAGCTGAATTAGGAGGAGCGCTTTAGTTACACTATCTGTCCAATCTGATAACATGTTCTAAACTTCTGAAGGGGATGATTACACAGAACATGTTTTTGCACACAAGGCGCATAATAGATACTAATAGTACTACAGTTAATATAATATGCAATAGCAACTGCAGAGCCACAGTGCTGATGAATGGAAAAGAAGGCTGGTCTCGAATGTGAAATGTGGTCAAATGGTTGGATATTCGTCTAGTACATGTTTACATAGAAAAATAATTAAAAGCAGCAGTGCTTACTGTAAATAGCTCAGACAGAGTTTTATGATTGGCCCAAAGTAGAATTCTTACATCAGCACAATTTGCCCTCATACGTGCTCATACCAGTAATCCTATTCCTTGTTTACCCATAGCATACCAGTAGCATACTGGTAATGTAACTTTTCATACCAGAACTGATTACCGGTATTTTTCAAAAGGTCCTGTTCACACATGATCTCTTAATGATAATTTGCCATGGGGCTAAATGACAGGAGCTAATGACAGTTGCTCAGCTGGCCTATGTGATTTAAATTCTATATGGACATAGAAGTTTTGAGCCAATCACCCAAGCAATAAATGCCATGTGACTAATTAATCAGGAAGATAACATCATGTTAATGCTGATTAGTTGATAACACCACATGGCACACAGTCACTAGTCCTTCACTAGTGACTATCCTGAACTGTGAAAGGCAAGCTCTCTACCCAATAATATCCTGCCACTCTGCACTAGGCTGTCAAAAAGCCGTCAAATGAAATAGAAATCAGAATGTAAGGATTTCAGCAGACGCAGAGGAGAGGAAAATGTGCTCCAGGAGTGGATGAGAGGGAAGGAGAAGGGGTTACAGTCCTCTCACCGTCTCTCAGATTCCTGCTAGCATCTTTAGGGTGACCCCCTACTCATTCCCTGGCAGAGAGTTTGGAGGGGAAGGAACTTTAGCAGGATTAAATGGCCTAAATGTGGGTCTCCCTCTCATTACTGCCAGCGTTCCTATGACAATACGAGAAGGAATGGGTGAGAGTTGGAGGGAGAGAAGGGGGAGCGAGAGATGCAGAGGGGGAAGACAGGAGGGAAGAGGACGATTGGCTGCGAGTTGTCTGTCCCATCTGGTTGCACACTCCCACACACTCCACCAGCTTTAGTGAAATGAGACAGTGAGCTTTCACGCTGTAGGCGTCCAGAGAGAAAGAGAGCAGGGAATGGTGAAAGGAGTGATGGGAAGGAGATGAGAAGGAAGAGATATATTAAAGGAATAGTAGAAGAGAAAGCTAGCGAAACGGATTAGGCCACAAGGTTAGACGGATGGAGAAAAAAAGAGGAAGCAGCTGAGGAAATGGAGCCTTGCGGGCACCTGGACTCAAAGCGATACATAGAGTATAGTGCAGAGTCATGTAGTCAGGCATTTGACTATCTAGTCCACTTTGATGCTTATTCTGGCCAAGGTCCACCCCTTAGAGATCAACATGTAAAGCTGCTCCTGGAAGGCTACTTTCCTGTAGACTTTGGTTTCATCCCTGCTCCTACACACCTGTCTGATATTTTTAAGTACTCCCGAACACCTTTATTAGCTGGTTTAAGTGTATATCCTTGATATAAGGGTCTGTGGGTCAACCTAAAATCAGATACAACCCTGTTATTAGTGCTCAAGGAAATCTAGTTCCATCTCTCCAAAATAAATAAATAAATAAAAAACTGATTGTTTTTTGAAAAATGTAATGCCATGAACCATGAATCACCAAATCTTCTTGCTCAGAAGTCTGAATCAGAAACAGCCTGTGTTTCTTCTTTTCATTTTAATTAGTGCCGATATTATCCTGCACTCTGTGCTCTGATGTTGGTGGTTCCTGGTTCGAGTCCAACTTGGTTTTAGTGATGGAAGGAAAGGAACTGTCTTTTCAGTGGAGAAAATATCCCACCAGATTGGGCACAAGGGGCATAACTGGAGCTGCCTGGTACCTTGTAACCTTGTACCTTGATGGACTTGTGAGCACCCTGACCCCTGAAAAATCCAATAAAGCTAGAAAGTTGTTGCCATTTTGTGTACAATATGTAGCGAATAGTCAGTGAATAGACTGAGTATGCCATCTAAGGCTGGGACTAGAGTCAGTGAGATGTGTCAGTAAAGGCCCAGACACACCAAACCAACATCAAAGAACTATCAACAACAAAAGCCGACTGTGCTGTCGCACCTGCACCTGGGCCAAAAAGTTGAGCTTGAACACACAGCAAAGACTACAGCCAACTAGCCTGTAGGTTCTGTGCCTATGTGAGAGGAAATAACTCTCCATACCAGCAGTAGCAATAGCTGTATTCATTATACAAAAAGGGAAACCAGAAGAAATAGGACTGCGGATATACAATGAGAAGAGCCTTCTCTGTGTGCCTTCTTGGCTTTCTTTCGTCACTTTCGTTTTCTCTCATTGTGCACTGGTTCGCTAAGCTGAACAGCTAATCAGAGTGCTCTCTCTCACCGATGGCTTCCACCGCAGATTCGACGAGCTCCCAAAAAGCTGCCGACGGGGTCCGACTAGTGCCAACGCAAAAACTAGTCCAACAGACGCTCAACAACGGTCCGACATTGGCCAGCGGTCAACCCTCATCTTGGTGTGTCACAACTTGGTGTTAAGTCAGAGAAAAGAGTTGGAAGGAGAGTCACTTAAGCCCTCGATATACTCACAGCAGAGCCCCAGAGCACACCTACCTATTATTTAACTGCCACGGATCAATGATAGTTCAAAGGCGTTAATCTGCTGGAGCAAATCTTTTGAGAATGTTCGCTTTGGCAAGCTGTTTCAAACTCCCAAAATGAACTCCAAATGAACTTCAAGTACTGTATATCGGGGTCTTAAAGTTATAGTCAAGACATGTTTGCTCCTCATATAGATCCCTGTTAAAGCTGTGTCTGATTGTATGTTATTGTGTTTCATTGGTTCTGTTTTATGTCTCTGTGTGACAGGAGGCCATGCAGCAGTGGTACCAACACTACCATGCACAGAACTATGGCAACTCTAGCCAAGAGACAGCTGCAGTTACTGAATGCACAAAAGAGCAACCTCAGGTGAGTACACATACACAGGCACGGTACTATGGTAATGTGCCCATTGTACAAAAAGAAAAAAAATGAAAAGGTGGAAAAAGATTAGGGCGGGCATTCCCAAACGCAAATTATTAACTTACGAAAAGATGAAATGTTTTGTTTTTCCTGCATGTCATGTGATCATTAAATGACATCAGAAAGTCATGAACATACAAATATATAGTAAAATTATTGAAATAGTAATGTTTTAGGTAGGGCTAGGTAAAAAAAAAAAATTTTACGAAACGATATTGATTCTTAAATCCCAAGAATCGATTAGCCTAGCCTGTTTTCAGTTAAGGAACGGAACATTGTAGTGCGCCTCCCATCCAATAAATTAATAATAAATACAGATCTTCTCCTCCGCTTTAATACCAGTTATAGCACGAAATAAACATGAATGAACATCCAAAGGTCAAAAGAAAGAGTACAACTTAGCAAAATCCGTATCCTGTCTCATGTAATCGCTCAATCAGTGTTTCAAACGCGAAAAGACGTCAATATAACAGCTTGTAAACAATATGTCACGTAACGTCACATTTACCACAGAAGAAAACATATTTGGTGACCATAAACTTGTTAGTCAGCTAGAAAAATTAACTCTAGAGAGGAGCATTTTGTTAAATATGCACCATATATCATTACATTTTGTACTGTTTTTCAATATTTCATTTATGTTTGGATAAATCCGTTAATTTTTATGACAGCGATTTAAATGTTTATATTTCAAAAAACGAATTGGAGCAGACATATAATTATGTACAGTAATTGTAAAGTTAGTATTATAACTTTATTATTATAAAAACTTTATTGAGTGTAATTTTAAGTGTTTGTATACAAATCAGTTCATTTTAACCTTCAATATTATAGTAATGTAGTACCAACTGACTCTCGTGTATATTTTACAACATTAGTTGATTAGAGATTTTTTTTCCCTTTTAGAAAATTTGCCATGTACTGTACCTGATTTTTATCCAAAATAATCTGTCAAATCGGAATCAAATCTAATCGCAAGCGTGTGAATTGAAATCGAATTGTGAAAAACACAGCCCTAGTTTTAGGGGGTACTTATTTTAGGTCAAAGGGGTTCTGCTGACAAAAAATAAATAAATACATTTTGGGGAATCACTTAGTTAGGAGAAAGAAGATGTCATGAACTCAAAATGCCATGAACAACAATAGAAGTCCATGGAAAGTCCCCACCATGATAACAAATGTGTTTGTGTTTGTCACAGGTGGTGGTCACCTCCTCATACGGAGACTACAGTTCCTACATGCATGCTGTCAGTCAGTACTATTCTCAGACGCAGATGAGCCAGACAGCTGCTCAAGTCTACCAGCACCGAGATGTCAGCAAGGTACACACACACACACAGAAACACATCATGCTTAATGATGCTCACTTTACTGTGTACATTAACTATCCCTGACCATCTCAAAACTTTACACACTGAAAGGGATTCTACTGTGCAGGAATGCAAATACATACCCGCAGCAGAAATGCTAAACAGTTCACACACTTCCCAAACCTCACACATTCTCTAGAGGTAGAAATACTCCAGCCGTCATACTTCTGACAGATGTCAGAAAAGTCAAAAGCCTGGACTTCCACTGTGTCTAAGTGTCTCATGACTGACACAACATCTCTCTATGACAGATCACTCTGTGACTTACTGACAATTGTTCATACTGTCACAGACCAAAATAGGTCAGAAATTAGACTTTCATTTCTCTGTAGGTATATACAGTATGGAAACTGTATGCATTTAATCTATAATCTATACTGATTGTATGCTTGCATATTACAGCATGCATATTAAACAAAAATGTTTGTAAAATAAAATGAAAACTATTAATAAAACTAAGCTTTTATTCATGGTCTTTTTTTAAGCTGTAATGAACTACTATTCAAAAGTTTGGGGTGTTTTTTTAAGAAGTCTCATGCATTTATTTCAAATAAAATAAAATATGTATTAAAGTACTGTAAAAACAGGAATATTGTGAAATATTATTACAATTTAAAATAACTGTTTTCTATTTGAATATATTTTGAAATGTAATTTTCAGCAGCCATTACTCTTACAAACATTATTAGCCATTACTATTAGTCTTCAGTGTGACATGATCCTTCAGAAATCATTTTAATATGCTTATTTGGTGTTCAAGAATTTTTTTTTATTAATAACAATGTTGAAAAAAGTTGTGGTGCTTAATATTTTTGTGAAACCGTCAAACATGCATTTATTAATTTACTGTCTGTTTTGTAAATTTCTTTTTGAATACTTTTTTCACTACAAATTATATTATCGCCACAATGTGAGTGAAACATTGAAACATTATCAAGAATTTATTTTGCTTTAAATGACAGCAGAACTTTAGCTGCATGAACGCCATTGATGCACTGCCACAAATTTGCTTATTTGATTAATGACCTAGAAATACTGACGAATCTTAATTACATCTTCATTCTAACATTCTACATATTAAAGACTGCGAGCTGATTTATGTGCTGGCTTTGTGGACTGTATACACAAAGTGTGTTGCGATAGAAGTTAGCTCATGTTTGTGTGTTGGTGGCATTTGTGTGGGGTGTAGGAGCTTATGTAAATGTGGTGGCAGGTGGTGTTACAGGTCAGACACACATTCCTCACTTAGTCTCATGACACTTTCAGGACATGGGATCCTGCTGAAAACACTCCATCACTCCTCAGCACAGCAGCTGGGCCAGTGTGTGTGTGTTGCATATGGAGAGATACAGTATAAGTGTATGTATAAATGTTTGATGGTGTCTCTCTATAGGAGGTGGAGGTGGTGAAGACCCCCTTGAGTGGGCCTCTGCACACCTCTCTGAACGGCACTGCTCAGACCCTGCTGCCCACCTACAGTGCCCTACCCATCATGCCTAGCTTCATCACACCAACTCACACGCACACGCACGTGCCCAGTCCTGCCGCGCACACACCCGCTGCACCCTCAGCCACCGACTGGAACAACTACTATTATGTGAGTGTGTCTTTCTATATAAAATGTGTGTATAATTGTGTGTGAGAGAAAGAGAAGTGAAACGAACCACATATATTGTGATATATTAGGACTACAGCAGACACCTGAAAGATTACATGTGTTTAGATTCCAGAAAGAAAAAAGAAGTATCATTTCAGTAGAAAAGGTTAAGGCGTGATAACATTAGCATTAGTCCATTGTCCATTCTCAGTAGTGTAGCGATGCACGAAACATCTGTTTGTTTAAAGTTTAATGTGAAATCCACATGGGGAAGGGGAATTTTGCCATACAAAGTATTACACCCTTCTTGTTGAAATTTAAACAAATATTTTGTCCAAATTGACCCTTCGCAAAGACCCGCCCCCCTTTATTACTGTTGCTATGTCCGACAAGCCATGGTGCTTTCACGCCACACATCATGTTGTCACGCAGTGAAAAATAATACATCGTGGAGCAAAGAGGAAACTGACAACATGCAGACAGACAAGACAGAGCAGGTTATTTTTGGTATGAAACCAAGTCTCATCTTTCAAATTTTGTCCTTTATTTAAGAAATTCAAACAATGAATACCGTTTTGTGGCTCTTTGATGTGTCGTGACAGATCGCTGTAGCGCCTCAGTTCAAGCGGCACATGAACCGATCATCTCTTCCTCTTTACTAGCTATAGCACGAAATAAACATGAATGAATCATCAGAAGGTATCTTGTTTCAACTGCGGAAAGACTACAATATACACCATTTTCCACCGACGTTAATCTACTCTCCTGTTTGGTTTGTTTGTCGGACAAAATGGCAGATTTGGCGTATTATTGATTTGTCTGATCGCCTGTCAAACTCCCTGTGAAGGGTCAATTTAGGCCCAAAGTACCCAGACCGTAAATGCTATGAACTGTGAGGTCTACCATAAGGGTCACTTCAGCTGTGGCCAAAAAACATGGGTTTCAAAACGGCCAATTAAATGTTATTAGGGCCTTTCGCACCGCGGGAACCTTTTCATAGTACCAGAACTAATTGTGGAACTACCCACTTTTTGGCGTTTTCGCACCGCCGGAACTGGCTGCGATTTTACAGACTGCCTTTTTCGAGAACCAAATTAGCTCCTACTGTGCAGGGTCTAACCAGCACAACTGGTACTAATCGTGACATAAGTAGACATTGATTGGCCAAACGCATATGAAAAC